TCATTTGATCTAAATTAATAAAAATAAGTCGCAAAACACGATAAAATTTCGAATATTTTTCATGAAAATCCGACGTGTTACCTCACACAGCTAACGCGAACGCAAGTGGAGCATACAGAAAACGTTGACCCAGGTCAGTTAACCCTAAGAGCCCTTTGCAGCCTTTCACACATAGGGCCATCGAGGACGATCGGAAGCGTCTTTATCACGAGCAGCGTGCGCTGCTCGCTGAAGCTTATAACTTTCACCTTTATCATTCTCACCGCTCCAAGCCGGAAGCTCTTTGTCTCTTTGTCTCTTTTTTCCCTTTCTCTTCATTTGTTCATTGAAACGATACATAAATCGTATTTTTAAAGCCAAGCTAAACTGCCTCCGAAAATATCTTTCTTCTTCGTTACATTAATTACATTAATTAGTAGTTTTTCTTCAACTTTTTATATATTTTATTCACGTATGATTAGTGAATGTAATATTAATTTATTATAAATATTGGATTTTTAATCTGGCCTATTTAACTAAGAGATCACATAAAAAAGGTAAAACATCATATCAAGTTTATTGTAAATTTTCGAATAGGCCACCTCACAAGTAAAAGGAAGCAAATTATTAAAAAATATTACTTGTTCTTCTTGCTAATCTTACTCTATAATTTTCATGCATAAATGATAAGCGAACATCAAACATGTTCTTCCTGATAATGCAATCAAAGAATAAAAAGTGAAGATTGTGCCGCGCGACAGGCAGGTCATTCAATGTACGATTCTTTTTCTCGCAACCGACGCTCCTCGTTTTCCAGGCATCGAAACTGCAGGATCGATTCCAATTTCGGTGGCGTAATATTCGTCAGGCACGAGAGAGTCGGCAGCCGCCGCGTTACACCGGCGCGGCGTCGGCTTCGTTTCGTTTTCGCGAAAACTAGTCGCCCTTCGTCGCTGTTTCAACGTTCACGGAGGTCGAGAAGAGGTGGAGAACATTCGAAAAGTTTAAGGCTCGTAATAAATGGCTTTTGGCGGTCCCTGTCCGCCGGGATGCGGCACGCCCGGATATCATTAATTAACAGTAATTAACGCGCGCGCCGACCCCCCTCGGTGAAGTTTTCACCGCCGGCAGTCGCGCGCCTTGTTGATGAGGGATGGAATCCGCACGAGAACTGTTCCAAAGAGTTTGCCGAGCTACATATCGAGAACATCGTCGATAAGCCAATAAGCCATTTATCATTCGTATCGTGACACAAATGTTTTTTTTTTATTATATTTGGTATAATATTGCGTACATCAATTTAAAAACTGTGTCTCGTTTCACAAATGTGATAAATGAAGCGTTAAAAAATGATTAGATGTACAAAAATGAAGAGGAAAGAACATGAAAAAAATATATTTTACGCTCTATTAATATTAATGGAAGGTAATGATTGTGGAAGGCGGATCACCCGGTTAAAGTAAACTAAACAATGAGGTGGGCTGTTCGGGAGATTGGACGTCATCGATTAACGATAATTCAATACGGGGCATTAATTTTCATTAACTATCGGATATCGAACTTTCTTGCCATGTTGTAGCCCACGGGTATTCTCGAAGGAGCCTGCGCGATCGATTTCCCCCCGAGAGATCCGGTGTCCTCGGTGAGGAGATAACGGCAAGTTTAGAGAGACTCGCAAGTTATGTATCACGCGAAAATAAGTTATGACACACACGAGCATCGTCAGAGCTGCAGTGTATAGCATTATGTAATAGCATACATTTACGCGTTATCTATTAAAAAGTAATTATTTTACATGTAATATACGTGTAATAGTCCACAAAACTGGGCCGAGTACTTGTCCTGTAGAAGACAGAAAAAAATGGTGAAGCGAAAAGTTAAATAGCATAATATGAAAATTGTTCTATGAGCTTATTTTTTCGTAAGTGCAAAAGTATGTTCGTTTCATGGACTTAATTTAAAGATGTACTTTATTTTTATAATTACTGTAAACTGTGGTCGATCGATACTGCTTTACGCGTCCTCAAGTGTTTATACTCAAAATTCGTAATTGTAAACTAAGTGGAACGTTTAAACATCACTTTGAACAAAGCATATATCTTACTTAAAAATGTTAAATATCTCGTAAAATATTAATTTTTCGAGCATTTTACCCTAATACTTTTATACAGAAATTATTCAGAGAGACCTATGCAAAAAAAATACATATTTCTATTAAAAAAATAAGGCAATTGCTCTTTTCTGGTGCATCATTGTACTTACGAAAAAAAGTCCATAAAATGAGTCCATAGAAAAATTTTTCTATAGAGAGCTAGAGCTACAGTATATTTTATATATCTAATAATTTATATATATTGCATATTTGCGTGCAACTTATTCAAATATTTCTCTTTTGCTGGTAAAATGGCAAAAAGAACCAGATGTCACTTTTGCAGAAAATTCTTTCGCATTTCAAGCGAATTATGCTAACAAAGTTCATTAGAATGCAGCAAGTTAAAGTTAAGTTTAAGTTAAGTCTTGGTTTCTAAATAATGATTAAATTATATAACTTGAAGTAGTTTTCTGCCATGTAACAAATTCGAAATTCATTTTCCTCTCCTTTAAACTCATCCAGGAAACAATTGTAAAATGCACGATGTCATTGCACGGCAGGGATGATTCATCGCTGCGACTTGTGAAGTTAGCAGCGCAACGTGTCTACAATTGTGTCCTACATTTCGTGTAATATCCCTCGCAATTTTTACATCTCTCTGAAGGTCTCGCGATATCGAGAAATGGAATTCACGAACGGAAACCTCAAAAATTGGTGAACGTCCAATCCAGCGCGGTAATGATTTCTGCGAATTTCGCTGTCGCAACCACTCTTTGAACAGCGTACAGCTGGCGTGGGGTGCAAAATGCAAATCCCTACAGTCAAAAATTTGAAGTAAAAGCAAAATGTGATATTATGTTTCACTCCGTGTATTATTAATTTTAATTGTAATCACCTGATTTGATATTTTTGAATACGAGAAAATGTGTATGTTTAACTCTATCTACATAAAAGTTCACACACAAGCATTGAATGTATATTCACAGTGCCGATTCGCGGCTGATTAGCTTACATATCCGTTCAATACATGTACTACACATTAGATGGAGCAAAACACAAAGAGTTTCTCGTATTCAAAATAATGGTTACAATAGACGGATAGAAGACGGATAAAATTGAAACTATTTTGCAAGAAATTATCGTGATCAAGAAGGCGGTTTCCCTAGGCACTATTGCCTGTTTTGCAATAAATTTTTGATAGTGTGCAGCTCGTTTCTCACGAACGAGGCTAGAAATCGTAACGCCGTATTTCGCTAGTCTGAAAATTTCCCTATGCGCAATTTACAACGCTGTAATGGCCGTCGTCCCGATAAGCGGGCGAATTGCATCTTCGGGTCAAGGAAGATGGACGGCAGAACTTTTTTCAGGAAATAAAAATCCACCTATGCAGTTGCTTGTAAATAGCTTAAAAGATCCGGCATCCACGTAATTCTTTCAAGAGATATCTTTCTCGGGAAAACAGAAAATCTACAAACAACGTTTAAGATACAAGAAAAATAATGGGATTGTTAATAAAAGAGGAGAATTAAATTATTATTCTGTTGAAACAAGATAAAATAATTATCGTAATGCACAGAAGAGAAAAACAGAACAGAAGTTTCTGTTTTATATTAACGGACATAAAAAATAATACAAAGCGACAAAAACATCACAATTTATTTTATAATTGTGCTTCCTTTTTTTAATCTCTAGTAAATCCAAAGAAAAGTATAGATCTAATTAATATTTTTATTATTCGTTGTGTAAATTCTTCATCATTATACGCGATTCACGAAGACCTGCGTGTCGAAGATATGTGGGTCGCGTCGCGTCAAAGAATGCAATAAGAAGGAAAACGAGAGCGGAAACGGGAGAAAAAAGGGAAGAGAGAGAGAGAGAGAGAGAGAGAGAGAGAGAGAGAGAGAGAGAGAGAGAGAGAGAGAGAGAGAGAGAGAGAGAGAGAGAGAGAGAGAGAGAGAGAGAGAGAGAG